CTTGCATGAATGTGGAAAGGATGTAACACCTTATCAATCTTTTTCTTGTTCCTAATTTCAGTTGCCTTGATGTAAGAACATTCTTCATCTTGATAAAGTTTTGGCCATTTCCGCGTCTTATTTCAGCATTAGATCTTCCATCTGAACTGATTTACTTGTTCTATTTTGTCATTCCACTGTTATTTTCACTGTTGTTATCACTGTGCTGCTACGACTACCATGATATTAGTCTTCCTTACATTGATCTTTAATCCACGGTTAAGGCTTTCTGTTTTTTACAACATCTGCAGTGCTCGGAGTTGTTCCTCTGATTCTGCCAAAAGAGTGGTATCGTCTGCATATCTCAGATTTGTGATGTTCTTCCCCCAACTCTGACCCCAGGTAACATGTCAGCCTCTCTTAATATCTCTTCTGAGTATAGGTTAAATAAAGTAGGTTACAAAATACAGCCTTGCCTAACTCCACTTTTTATTTCAAAATTCTCAGATTCTCCGTCTTCCAATTTGACACTACCATGTCGAAGCAAGTATATATTTTGTATCAGTCTTAAGTCTTTACCATCAATAGGACATTTCTTGATTGCACACATCAGCTTCTCATGATTAACACAATCAAATGCTTTTTCAAAATCTATAAAGCATTTATAAACATTTTTTTGGAGATCTTTGGCAGTTCTCGTCTTTTCTGTCCAACTCTGAATACTTAACAAGGACAGTCCTTTTGATTGAGAATGCCTTCTCTTGTACCCAATCTGCTCTAAATCCAGATTGAGTATCATCTATCTCGCTTTCCCATGTTTCCACGTTACGCTCATTACTTTCAGAATCACTTTTATGATGTGGCTCATCAGACTAATGGTCCTATACTCACTACATTCCGCTGCTTTCTGCTTTTTAGGTATCTTGATAAACAAGGAGTGTCTCAGGTCAGTTGGAATGTACCCAGTGTACTACTTACAATTTCAAGAGATTCTTCATCTAGTGCCTTTAGATGTTCAATGGTGATCCTATCTAAACCTGGGGCTTTACCACATTTCATCAATCTGATAGTATGAGCTAAGTAGTCAGGTGCTTCAGTGTTGTCAACTTCCACTGAGTCTTCCCTGTCCTTGTCATCATACAACTCTGTAATATATTCTTCCCATCTCTTTGACACCTCACTTCTATCAAAAAAACAATCCCTTCTTTGTTTTTTATGCAACCAATGTCTGTCTTGATGTTTTCTTTCTGTTGGTCAAAACTTTGACTTTGTCATGCATCGCTCTAATTTCATGATTCTTTTCCATTTTCTCAATGTCAATACACAAACCATTGTACCATTCCTCCTTGGCCTGTTTTCATTTTTGATTTATCTTCTTCTTCTTCAAAATTGTGTACACAGAAGTGCCCCTTTTCTTCCACCTCACTTCCACCAAGTTTAGAATTTCCTTTGTAATTCACTGTTTATCTTAAACTTTCTCTCTTTTTGGTAATGTCCTCTTTTCAGCTTTTGTTATGCTTGTTTTAAAGGAAATCCGAATTCCTCTTATTCCTATAGCAGTCTACATCTACTTGTTCCACACTTTCATCAATCAATCAACGGTACCTGTTTTTTACCGCAAGTAAGAATTCCCTGCTGTACTTTTCTCTCTTCAAAAGATTCAGTTCAACTTGTGTGGAAACTTGCCTTTTCTTGGATTTCTTTAGCCTCATTCTTATCTTTGCTACAATTAGGCAGTGATCTGACTCTTTGTCAGCACCTGGATATGTACAGTATATACATTCTTTACGTGGTTTCTGTAACGATGACGTATCATCACATAATCAATTTAATTTCTATAGGGCCTATAAGTCGCCTGGACTCCTCCATGTATATCGTCTTCGTTTATGCTGTTCAAAGAAGGTATTTGTTACCACATTTTGCTCCTGACAGAATTGTATAAGCCTCTCTCCATGATTATTTCTCTCTTCCAGGCCATGCTCTCCGATACTGAAACCGTTTCCTCCTCTTACTTTGGCATACCAATCACCCATTACAATCAAGATGTCATACTTTTTCACATGTTGTAAACATAACTCAATTTCACTGATAGAATGTTTCTATCTCTTCTTCTGTAGCTTCTGATGTTGGTGCTTAACTATACTTGCCAGTGCGTAATTTATAACGTAAGGTTAATGAATTCGGCCTTTAAGTCGTTGCCTTTCGGGATGAGTATTGGATTTCGAAATCCAATCAGATCCTCAAATTTCTCAATAATATCATCCAGTGTCAGCAAACATTATAATTTGCGGAACGCTGTAATTACAGTAGTTGCCTTGATACAGTAGAACCCCTCCTTTGGGACACCCCTATTCAGGGGACACCCCTATTCAGTGGCGGCGCCAGCGGGGGGGGGGGGCTTAAGCCCCAATCGGTTTGGTAAAGCCCCCCCCCCCATCGACCAAAGCTCATCGGGCAGTCGGACCAAAAAAAAAAAAAATAGGCCTAGTTTTCCCATCAAAGGCATTTCCGGCCATAGAAGTCCCAATTTTTTTTTTTAAATCCCGTTTTTGTAAGAGGGGACACCCCCTTCAATACCCACCCCCGGCTTGGGCCTTCGGCACTTTAGATAACGCTGCGTGCTAAAGTTACACCCATAATTCTTAGCCTACCAGTCGGACATCTTATCCTCCTCACCCCACCATAAATTATATCCTAGAGCCGCCACTGCCCCTATTAAGAGGACACTTTTCCGTGAAACGAGTGGAAATATATCTTAACACTAGGCCAACCCCTATTAAAGGGACACCCCTATTAAGGGGACGGGAACACTTTCTAAGTGTGCCAAATGGTCAAATAACCCCTATTAAGGAGACACTTATTTTTTTTTTAATTGTATCACAACATCTACAGCACTCTAAAAATAAGAAAAATTAATTCAACTTTACATTTTGACACCTTTTGAGCAATAAACCAGAATTTTCTCCCCTTAATTCATGAGTGAATAACAGTATAGGCCTACTGCATGTGTTAAACTAATCTTGTCAATTTTGACCCTTAACAATGGGGATTTCTTTTTCTTTGTTTTTCGTACATTTCAAATAGGATTCTAATCCATATCAAAACATTTTACTCTATTCATGCTACATCCATCTAATAGGAAGCTCTAATGTAATTGTTATTATTTGTAAGTAAACCAGTATTTCGTTTACCTTTTCAGGACGTTCCACATACACATTACACACATATTAATCACGCTATACTATTTCAAACTAAATGAAATTATTTGATCATTTAATAGAATGCTCAATATAAAAAAGAATATTTGGTCATTAACATTGCACAATGATTCAATATTGGGGAACATATTTGACTATTGTCGTTTTAATAAAATTTCTGCTGATTTCATATTATGAATGAATTTGCATTGCAAATTATTGCTATAGATTAGTTCTTATTCTACTCTAACTGATTCTTATGTCAATTAAAATAAAATATCAAGGGGAAAATTTTATTTTTATTTTTTGGTTTGTCCCCTTATATAGGGGTTTACTGTATTATTATTTTGTTACTCGTATTTTTTCTGTTTATTTATGAGCATACCCTTGCAATTGTATATAAAATAAGTTTTACAAATCACAATAAATATACTGAACTCCCCCTTCCCCACCCTTACATCATTCGTCAAATAAAACAAGAATTTAAATACAAGGAATAACCTACATAAAGATTTATCATTCGCTTATATTAAAACTGGAACTATGCCTTTGTCTGGGCGTTCCTACCCTTTCTCTCTGTGGACAATAGCTTTTGTTTTAGCCATTCACTAGCAGCCTTCTCATTAGTTAGTTTATCCATCCAATCAACAACCAGCCTCTCTACCCAAACATAAAGTATTTCTCTGTTTTGAATTTCTGTATATTATTCTCCTGAAGACGGTTGAAGCAACTCAATCGAAACGTCGAGGTATTCTCAACCAAACAACAGTTCTTTTCATAACTATCTACGTGGTGTGCAGCAAACATTGATATAAACTATTTTTATCATCCATATTATTGTTATTATTATCATTAAATTAGTATCCATACAGAATAAACAAGGTTATTACATTTGCTCTTTATAGTTATTATTTTTTTTAAAATTATTATTGTTATCATTATCATTATTAACGATATTGAAGACATGGATTATACTATTTATGCAGTACAAATATTAAAAAAAACAATATGAATTACATACATTTTATAGCGGCGGGGGTGGGGGCAGTCCGGGAAGTGGTGGTGGAGGGAAATGTCATGGTCGGAAAAAGTCCGGGGTGCGGGGAAATATCGGGGGAAATGTGTGGGTGGGGGAGCGGAAAACCAGCCTAGAACCGAAAAAATATATATAGGGCATATAGGCTAGGCCCATTGGCAGGTATTCTTTGAAAAAAGATATATATTCAATCTGTTCGTTCACTGATTGGAAGTTATTGATTGATTTGATCCTTCAACTAAGCTCTAACAACTAATAATTGAATTTTCAGAGGATTTTTTTTTTCTAATTTTCTTTAATTTATTGGCAGACGGTTATGTAAGAGGGAATTTTTTATATATTAAAAACAAATTTTATAAGAGCACTGAGGCTGAAATTGATTAAAAATTAAGAACAAAATAAGAACAAATTGAGGCTGAGGTAAAATGTCAAAATAAGGTTTTTGAAAAACAAAAAAATTATATCTGTACCTTATGTGCAGTAATGCAGGTGTAACTATGTAATACCCCCTATAATCAGGTGTACTGTCATTTGGGGCCAGGCGTTTTTTCTGGGGCAATTTTCCAGGCCATTTTTTAGGGCCCATTTTTGCTGTACAATAATAATTTTCTATGTTTGAAAAGTGTGTAAAATAAGAACAAATTAAGAACATTTAGAGCCTGAAATCAGCTAAAAACTAAGAACACTGAGCCTGGGAAAAATTTTACTGGTTCTTATATAAAAAAAAAAAAACGTGTACATGGTCATTTTGGAGTTTTAGCAAGATGACGTCATGTTTTGTTATGGGCCATAATGACAAGATGTGTGACGTATGTAGTGGTAGGTCGCCGGGTGTGTGTTTTATCAGTAATCAAATTGAGTAAAATTTTAAAGTGATTATGAATCAACAGATGGATTCCAACATTAGGCACAGAATAGGTGTCATACAGGGCGCAACAAATCAAGGTGTCGACGGTAAGTAGACATCGGCCTCTCAGCTGCAATATGCCTCAACAACCAGGCAAAGCGGACCTCAGTTTAGGGTCAGACAAACTCTACATATCATAATAGGCCTAGGCGTAGTCATACAGGCCCTGAGTGAGGAAGCCTAGCCTAGCCTAGCATTACCTAGCTAGGCGGATTCAGCTAGGCTAGGCCTAGGTTGGAGAGAGGCCTTGGCTAGGAATAGGATAGGCAGCGAGCCTAGTTTATGGACCTAGCCTAGGTCTGACCCAGTGAGTAATTGTGCATCGCTGGGAATTACAGTTAGGCCTTTTTCACGAATCAGTAGACATCTTGAAGTGATTACAAACATTGCAAATCAGCGGTGTGTAACCAACAGAAATAAGATAAATAAGCTTTTGGGCAGACTTTCTGACATCATGTTATTTAAAAAATCATAACTCCATAACGGAGCGTCGTATCCAAAAGAATTTTCCAGCAAAATGTTCTTAAAAGACTAGTCTACACCACTATATGATTGAAAAAAAAAGTGAAAAAATGTTTTTGACCTCTGAAATCAATATGGAAAAAGAAAAGCCTATTTATAAGTAAAGTGTATTAAAAAAAGGCTATGCATTACAGTGCAGTAGCGTAGCACTTTTGTGTTGTTACTCTTCCAGGTATCGATAATATACAGATTTTTCTTACCGTATATAAAGTTATGTTTAAATCATGTTTTACAGAGAATTACTTACAAGATTTTATTATTTGTTTTCAAAGTACTTCATAATTCCTCGCCAATGTTTATTTCACAACTCATTCATCCTTACATTCCTAAGAGGTCTCTGAGATCTAGTTCAGAGTCTCTATTTGCTCATTCCACTCGCTCGTCGACAAAGCATTATGGTAGTCGTTCTTTCTCTTGGGCTTCTGTCTTTCTTTGGAATGCTCTGCCTATTACAATCCGACAGGTAACTTCCATTGATGGTTTTAAGGCAGCTTTAAAAACTCACCTTTTTAACTTGTATTTTTCTTATAATTTTTTTCCCCGAATTTTATTTTTACTGTTAAGCGCATTGAGGCTTTAGCATAATGCGCTATATAAGGCAAAATTATTATTATTATTATTATTTTTAACACACAGGAAACTCTCATATAGTAAAACAATTCTAGTCCAGAGTATTGTACTACTCTATGCCTAAACTAGCTATGCCTACAGTGTAGGTGGTAGGATAGGCATGCCTGAACATCCCTAGGCCTAGGTCCAACCTTTCCTTGTTGTTATTACTGCTTCTCTTAGGCCCACACCCTAGTTGAAACCTGGCTACGAGTAGTAGTAGAAGCCTATTGCCAAACCGGCCAAATAATGTAGTTAGTTTACTGCATGTAGTGGCTGCTACACTTATTAATAGGCAATATCCTTCTAGTCTTTTGAACTTGAGGGTTGAACTGTGTGATGGTGAAGTTTTTGATTCAGACAAATTTCAAGACACTCGTAATACTGTAAATTAGTTGACCAGTAAGAACAACTCATAGGGCCTATGGAATGTGTGTATATGGGGAAATTTCTTGAGGCCCTACTGTACTTGCAATTTAGAGATGAATTTTTCCAGTTTTGCTGATGACTTGAGTGAGACGACAAGCAAATTATTACAGTCAAGAAAAGTTTTCCATGTGAACTGATCCATATAATGTACTTAAATAAATCAAACACAGTATTGCCATTACAACACTTCATACAGTAAAATCTTTTGGAATGGAAATTACATTTAAAAATGTAAACACTGTTGCCCCTTACACTTCATGCATCATTATAAATGATATAACACAAAAACATAGTTGTACTTTATTAAAAATTTGAACTTAACTGGATCATACTAAAAGTATGTACTATATCCATTTGTAAACAAAACCGAATCTGCATTGTGAAATACGAATAATTAAAAGAGTTGCAATTGTAAACCAGACTATATTCTATACTAAAAGTATGTACTATACCGTAAAAACCTCGGATTGAAGCCTCCCTCCTTAGTTTGCAAAATTAGCCTAAAAAAAAGCAGCCCCCGCTTTACTGTGCTGTTAAGGAAACAAAAATAAAATAATTATTACTACAACAATATATCAACACTTGTATGTACATCAACAACATACTTCCGAAATACTATTTTCTAGCCTAGTAGTACGCCTATAAGTATGCCCCTAGGCGAGTATTCGGGCTAGGCCCTAGGTCTAAGCCTAGCCTTGTAGACCATTCTATATGGTAGACCATAAAATACGCAAGACAGAAAGGATTTTTAACCAAAACATTGTGATAAGCCCCAATCGAAATACATGAAATGGGCCTAAAGTTTTATGACATAAATTTGATCGTAACTGTTTGCGCCACGTTTCTCATGATCGCGACGTCAACTTTACAAAACCAAAATTGAGTCGGTTATTTCTATTGGCTAATCATGACGTAATATCATTTACCGTACCTTTAGCAATCGGAAGTTCCGATACGGTACCGTATCTCTAGCCACAGCGTAAACTTTTATCGGTACTGTATATGAAGTTCTCTGTCTACAGACTCAGAGAAGTTTGACTGAGAAAGTTGGCCAACCCTTTGAGCTTAAGGATTTTGTAAAAAATCAAAGATGCTATTCTTAAAAGGTACCAGCTCACTCCAGAGAGCTATAGGGTCAAACTCAAGAATGCATAAGAAACATGGCGAACCTTTCGAAGAGTTTGCATGTCGTCTTGACAGTTACTTAGTGAACTGGCTCACCCCCAATGATGAGAGTAAAGCAAAATTTGGAAACTAATCAGAATCATCAATCTTATTCTGAGTGACCAATTGTAGAGCACTATCTTGGACACTGAGTTGCAAACTAATCTCAGAGACGCAAAGTGTGACACTTCCCAAAAAATTTGTCCCCTTTTCAATTCCCATCGCTGCCTCTCCTTGTGTTTCAGCTGGAGGGCTGAAATACAAGTTACAATAGCGCACCTTCTTTCAGATGAGACGTTTAAGCCGTTGGTCCCGTGTGCATTTATGGCCTATGTGCACATTAAAGAATGCAGTACACTCTTTGGAAAAGAGTAGGGGATTGTCTCCCAGTGTATACTGCCCAACCACCACCAGAGGGATCACCCCATTGGAAATAAGTCTTCTAGACTTTCGTGGGCTATCCTTGGTGTTTACACCGAATATATCCAATCCAATCCAGTCATGCTATTTGGTGTTTTACCAACGGACCAGCTTCATTGATTAATGGACCAGGTTGTCGGGGATCTTGGGAAGGTTGTTACGTGTATTTAAATGATTAATCCTATTTCAACCGAATAGTGCAACACAAAAAGTCATTTAAGACAGACCTTGATAGATTTACTGGTAAGGCCTGCATTTCATGCATTGTTTACACCGAATATATCCAATCCAATCCAGTCATGCTATTTGGTGTTTTGCTATTTGATTAATGGACCAGGTTTTCGGGGATCTTGGGAAGGTTGTTACGTGTATTTAAATGATTAATCCTATTTCAACCGAATATTGCAACACAAAAAGTAATTTAAGACAGACCTTGATAGATTTATGAAAGCTGGATTAACAGCCAATTACAGTCAGTCGCGTCACAGAGTTTGTTGGCCCCCGGCGGTGACATATTGGGGCCCTAATAAGCGCTCGAGCAAGCGAGCGTTAAGCTTGTGAGCGTAATGAGCAAACAGACGTTTTGGCCGCTTAGGGCTATTGATGTGAAGGCCTCTGGTGGGAATCCAAGGCCCCCCTTGAGAGCTTATAGACTGTTGGAATGGTCCATAACTGATGAAATATTTCAGACAATTTTATGACAAATCAAGAATTTACAATAGGCAAACTTTCAGAACTGGTATATGCCTACAGTAGTCCTATGTACACAATGCAGATGTAAATAAATACAGAGAATATTTTAATTTAGTGAGAAACAAAACATGTTTTAATAACGATACAATGCAAAACAAATTGATCACACAATCAAAAACAAATGTCAAACATCAGAACGCAGCTATTATTGTTTAAAGCTGTTGGAGCCCCATTGAATGAAACTTTGATATTGATATATTTTATATATAACTACAATTTTGGAGCCCCTTGCGGATGACCCTGGTGCCACGTCCCCTGTCAGCGCCCGAATGTGACGCTACTGATTACAGTAAGTGCAAATTTGGATTAGCTTTAATTAATAAATTTTTGGGACATTTGGTATCAGACCATGGATTGTCAACAGACCCAGACAATGTTGAGCGTACTGTATTGTTGAGAACCGATCACAAACTAAATTTCTGCAGAAGGCATGGTAACATGGTACAACAAATTTATTCCTAATTTTTTAGCAGTTGCAGCGCTGCTTAATACATTACACAGAAAAAATGCAAAATGGAATAGTCAGAGGCTGCTGACCAGGCATTTAATCATTTAAAGCAATTACTTATTGAGAGTCCCATCTTAGCTTAACCTGATCTTAGTGTCATTTACAGTACAGTTTGATGCATCTAATGTTGGCATCGGGGCCATATTACTTCAGAAATTCTAATGGGATGGCGAAAAACCACCCAATAGCATACGCATCGCATTCACTAAATGCAGCGGAACGCAATTTCATCTTAACAGAGGAGATTCTCACAGTCATGTTGGGCTACGGAGAAGTTGAAGCACTATTTGGAGGGTAAACGATCCAACATAATTACTCCTTATACCAATGCATATGTCCAAATGACAAGACTGCTATGTTATTTGTGAGAGAAGTAGACTTTTGTATGATTTTTTGGTTTTTTTAGCCTAATGACCCTTTTGTGACCATTGATCCCAAGTTGTGAACACCCCATAATTGGGAAGTTGCACCGGTCCTACTGATTCAGTTTCAATAATGTCGATCCAGTAGTTTGCCACTCCTTCCGTTTGTCGCTCCTTACCAGAACTATTATTGACACTCCTTGCTGGAGTATTAGCTGATGCATGCAAATATGGATATAGTGAATAGGAAATAAGTGTGATCTTGGCCAAAAGACAAGTA